ATTCCGATCTTTTCTGAAGTTATTCAGTACTTTGAGAAGTGATCCCAAACTTTTATAAAATGATTAAGTTATTTTTGAAGTAATTCAACACTTTGCGAATAGTTTTTAAACTTTTTCAGAATGATTCAGTACTTCCCGAAGGAAAACAAAATTTTCTGACGTTTTGTAGTACTTTCCAAAGTGATACTAAACTCTTCTGACGTGATTCAGTAAATTCTGAAGTAATTCCAAACTTTTCCGAAGTGATTCAGTACTTTGTGAAGTGATTGCATACTTTTTTAAAATGATTCAGTTCTTTTCGAAGTGATTCAGAGTTTGCGGAAGTGCTTTAAAACTTTTCAGGAATTATTCAGTACTTTCCGAAGTGAATCCAAAATTTTGTGAAGTTTTTCGGTACTTTCCAAAGTGATTCTAAACTCTTCTGAAGTGATCCAGTAAATTCTTAAATAATTCCAAAACTTTTCCGAAGTGATTCAGTACTTTCCAATGTGAGTTATTCAGTACTTTCCAAAATGTTCCCGAGTTTTTCTAAAGCGATTCGGATCTTTTCTAAAGATATTCAGTGCTATGTGGAGTGATTGCAATCTTTTTTTTAAATGATTCAGTTCTTTTCGAAGTGATTCCGTACTTTCCGAAGTGAATTCAAAATTTTCTGAAGATTTTCAGTACTTTCCAAAGTGATTCTAAGCTATTCAAAGTAAATTCTGAAGTAATCCCAATTTTTTTTCCGAAGTGATTCAGTACTTTCCGAAGTGACGCCGAACATTTCTAAAGTGATTCAGTACTTTCTGAAGTTATTCAGTACTTTGTGGAGTGATTCCAAACTTTGCTAAAATGATTGTGGAAGTGATTTAAATTTTTTCCGGAATGATTAATTACTTTCCGAAGTGAATCCAAAATGTTCTGAAGTTTTTCAATACGTTACAAAGTGATTCTAAACTCTTCTGAAGTGATTCAAAAAATTCTTTAATAATTATATATGTACTTTTCCGAAGTGATTCAGTACTTTCCGAAGGGACTCCGGACATTTCTAAAATGATTCAGTACTTTCCAAAGTGATTTAATTTTTTTCCAAAGTGATTCCGATCTTTTCTGAAGTTATTCAGTACTTCGTAGAGTGACTGCAAACTTTTCTAAAAAGATTCAGTTCTTTTCGAAGTGATTGAGTACTTGCGGAAGTGATTTCCAACTTTTACGGACTGATTCAGTACTTTCCGAAGAAAATCCTAAATTTTCTGAAGATTTTCATTACTTTCTAAGTTCTTCTGAATTGGTTCAGTAAATTCTGAAGTAATTCCCATTTTTTTCCCGAAGTGATTCAGTACTCTCCGAAGTGAATACGAACATTTCTTAAGTGATGCAGTACTTTCTGAAGTTATTTCGATTTTTTTTTATGTTATTCAGTACTTTGTGGAGTGATTCCAAACTTTTCTAAAATGATTCAGTTATTTTTTAAGTGATTCAGTACTTGCGGAAGAGATTTAAAATTTTTCATTACTGAACGATGAACGATTCATTACTTTCCGAAGTGAATCCAAAATTTTCTGAAGTAATTCAGAAAGTTCAGAAGGTATACCTTACTTTTCCGAAGTGATTCAATACTATCCAAAGTGACTCCGAAAATGTATAAAGTGATTCAGTACTTTCCAAAGTGATTCCGTGTTTTTCTTAAGTCATTTCAATCTTTTCTGAAGTTATTCAGTGCTATGTGGAGTGATTGAAAACTTTTCTAAAATGATTCAGTTCTTTTCGAAGTGATTCAGTACTTGCGGAAGTGATTTCAAACGTAAACGGAGTGATTCAGTACTTTCCGAAATAAATCCAAAATTTTGTGAAGATTTTCAGTACTTTCCAAAGTGATTCTAAACTCTTCTGAAGTAATTCAGTAAATTATGAAGGTATCCCAATTTTTTTCCGAAGTGATGCAGTACTTTCCGAAGTGACTCCGAACATTTCTAAAGTGATTCAGTACTTTTTGAAGTTATTCAGTACTTTGTGGAGTGATTCCAAACTTTTCTAAAATGATTCAGTTTTTTTTCTAAGTGTATCAGTACTTGTGGAAGTGATTTAAAAATTTTCCTGAACGATTAATTACTTTCCGAAGTGAATCCAAAATTTTCTGAAGTTTTTTACTGATTTACAAAGTGATTCTAAACTCTTCTGAAGTGATTCAAAAAAATCTGAAATAATTATAGGTACTTTTCCGAAGTGATTCAGTACTTTCTGAAGGAACTCCGGACATTTCTAAAATGATTCAGTACCTTCCAAAGTGAATAATTTTTTTTTTTCAAAGTTATTTCGATCTTTTCTGAAGTTATTCAGTGCTATGTGGAGTGACTGCAAACTTTTCTAAAATGATTCAGTTCTTTTCGAAGTGATTGAGTAGTTGCGGAAGTGATTTCCAACTTTTACGGAACGATTCAGTACTTTCCGAAGAAAATCCTTAATTTTGTGAAGATTTTCAGTACTTTCCAAAGTGATTCTAAGCTCTTCTGAAGTGATTCAGTAACTTCTGAAGTAAATCCAAAGTGATTCAGTACTTTCCGAAGTGACTACGAACTTTTCTAAAGTGATGCAGTACATTCCGAAGTGATTTCGATCTTTTTTGATGTTATTCAGTACTTTGTGCAGTGATTCCAAACTTTTTTAAAATGATTCAGTTATTTTTGAACTGATTCAGTAGTTGCGGAAGTGATTTAATTTTTTCCGGAATGATACATTTCTTTCCGAAGTCAATCCAAAATTTTGTGAACTTTTTCAGTACTTTACAGAGGGATTCTAAACTCTCCTGAAGTAATTCAGAAAGTTCAGAAGGTATACCTTACTTTTCCGAAGTGATTCAATACTATCCAAAGGGACTTTGAAAATTTATAAAGTGATTCAGTACTTTCCAAAGTGATTCCGGGTTTTTCTTAAGTGATTCCAATCTTTTCAGAAGTTATTCAGTGGTATGTTGTGGAGTGTTTGAAAACTTTTCTAAAATGATTCAGTTATTTTCGAAGTGATTCAGTACTTGCGGAAGTGATTTCAAACTTTAACGGAGTGATTCAGTACTTTCCGAAGTGAATCCAAAATTTTCTGAAGTTTTTCAGCACTTTTCAAAGTAATTCCAAACTCTTCTAAAGTGATTCAGCACTTTTCGAAGTGATTCTGAACTATTCTCAAGTGATTCAGTACTTTCCGAAGTGATTGAATTATTTCTCAAGTGATTAAGTACTTTTCGAAGTGGTTCGAAACTTTAATGAAGCGATTCGGTACTTTTCAAAGGGATTCCGAACTATTCTCAAGTGATTCAGTACTTTTCGAAGTGATTTCGTGCTTTAGTGATGCGACTTCATACTTTTCCAAAGTGATTAAGTACTTTCCAAAATGATTCAAAACACTTCTGAAGGGAGTGAGTTAGTGCTTTCCGAAGTAATTCCAACCACGTTGACACGTTTTCTTTGAGTTATGGTAAACTTGTCAAGGTGATGCAATATTCAAATGAGTGTTGCAAAACTATTCAATACGAATCCATACTTATGGCGGGCAGATTGTTAGCTACCCCGATACTCACTACACCTCGTTAATATAAATCAGTGATTCTCAATCTATGAGTCGCGGGCTCAAAAAAAAAAAATTCAGACATCTTGGTCATAAGTTTTTTTTTAATTAGTGCAAAATAGTGTTCAGAATTATGATAATCCAAATTAAGCTACAATAACAATAATTGAAATAACATTTCAAAGCCAGTTTTAAAAATCTAGGACATTTGACTTTTTTGGATCAGTTTAGGTATTTCGATGACCATTTCGATGTTTTCAAGATATTGGCATTATATGGGCTGTGAGGTCGAATTTAATGATGTTAAGGCCATTTTGACGTTTAAAAAAATGATTTATATTAGTTGGTAAACCAATTGTGTGGACAATTGTATTGTTTGAACATTTTTAAGATTATTTAGGCGTATTTTGAAGAATTTCAGAACGCTTTTAATAGCCATGTCAGTATTTTGAAATATTTAGGCCGAGTGTTTGGACTAATTTAGGGTTGTAGTGCAATTTAGTGAATGTTACCCGTATTAACTTGTTTGAAATTATTTTGGATATTTAAGCCGTTTCAATGCCAATTTGTTTCTGGATTTCAAGCAGTTTGAAGGCATTTTTGGCACGATAAGCCATTTTGAAATTTTTCTGATCATTTTGGCCCTAAAACACCGGTATTCAATATTGATGGGTAGCGAAATTATGGAATTTCATAAAGTGGGTCGCAATCGACAAAAGTTTGAGAACCGCTGATTTAGATTATTAAACCTACCAGCGTTTGATTGTTGATGTGAAGCAATTTTGGTTCTATGAGTTCCATTTTCCTGCAAATCATAATCGCTTTAAAAAAAAATGCTGCGTCATCTATAGACGATTGCTTTCGGCAATCGGGTGCCTACCTTTTATACGACAAGTAAGGTGTCTTCAAGTGATAAGATAGCAGAATGGGCCATTACAAAAAACTATCCCGCATTTTTCGATGACAATTTAAAACATACAATCTTCACTACTAACTATTTTAGATTTAAAAAAAAATTACCAGATTTAAAAAAAAAACACAGTTTTGTAAAGCAGAGGAAATGGCGGCTTTGGCACTTCTTTACCTATTATAGTTAGGGGGATAAATGAAGTCCTTGAGTGCTGATTTCTAGCATGAAGGTGCATCATATTTGACAAAAAATGAACACTCTTAGACTTCATTTGCCCCTGGTGACAATAGGCAAATATGTGCCGAAGCCGTCATTCCCCCTACCTATTAATGGAGTTAAGTTCTGTGTTGAACTTGAAAAAACAACAAATTCATCTTAGCGACAAGTTTACCTCCTCCTACCGTAATTTTAAAGCAAACTCACATCTCACAGACACATCACCACCAATCACGCAAACAATCAGCATCCGTACGGCATACCAACCACTTCGATTCAATCGCGCGGCAGGTCATCCTTCGAGTCAATCGTTGTTAGTCGACAGTAGACTCCAGACGAGATAAGTTAGTTGTACAAGTGTCTACCTCCACTATCCCCAGTCTTGCGCCATTGGACATACAACAATGACGGGCAAACTTTGCTTGGTGCTGCTGCTGGCACAGATGCTAATTAGCAGCAACCGGTACAGCGTAGTAGAATCGGCCAGAATTCTATGCGTGTTCCCCAGCCCCGGACGGTCACATGTCCTCGTGGGGCAAGCCCTGCTCAAGGGACTGGCCGAACGTGGTCACGAGGTAAGTCGTACGTTATCTCAATAGATTCAGTACCAATCTCATCAATTGCACACCCATTTTAGGTAACAATGGTGAGCCCATTCAAGCTGCCGAAACCGGTTAAAAACTACCGAGAAATCTACATTCCAGCGGATGATTTCGTTCATAAGCTATCGAAAAGCTTCCTCGAGAAGCCACCAAACATAATTAAGACTATGCCGGTGATGATACGGCATCTGATGAAAACTACGAACGATACAATCAATGATCCAAAGTTTTTGGCAATCAAGAACGAACAGTTTGATCTGGTCATAACGGGACTGTTCGTGGCGGATTTTATTCTAGGATTTGGACCGCATTTCAATGCTCCCACCGTGGCACTGTGGAGTGCCGGTATGACAAAGTTGACGTCCGATTTGGTTGGTAATCCAAGGGCCTTGGAGGCTGTTCCACATTTAATGATCGGACCACAGGAGCATATGGGTTTCGTGAGCCGTTTCAAGAATTTTTTGGTTGGTGCTGTTGAGAATGCCATGGTCGAGTTCTCCATATACAACCAACAAAAATACTACGATTTTAACTTCCCTTCGAATAGATACCCAAGCTACAGGGACGTTCGGAAAAACGTATCGCTTGTGCTATTGAATGCCCACTTTTCTACATTTGGATCGCAGCCCTACCTTCAGAACGTAATCGAGGTAGGTGGTTTGCAGATCAAGCCCAAGCCTGACCCGCTGCCCAAGGACATCCAGGAGTGGTTAGATGGAGCCGAACATGGTGCCATTTATTTCTGCTTGGGATCAAACCTTAAATCATCTGATCTGCCACCGGAAAAGCTTCAGATTTTCATCAAAAGCCTAGGAAAGCTGAAGCAGCGAATACTCTTCAAGTGGGAAACGGATAGCATCCCCAACCAACCGGCTAACTTCCTGACTAAAAAGTGGCTCCCTCAGGATGATATCCTAGCTCACAAGAAAGTAGTTTTGTTCATTTCCCACGGTGGACTGGGAGGAATGGCAGAATCTCGATACCATGCCGTTCCGATACTGGGAATCCCGATCTTTGCCGAACAATCGACCAATCTGCAGCTCGTAGAAAAGGAAGGCTGGGGTAAAGCGGTGGAATACTTGTCCATAACGGAGGCATCGTTCGAGGAACCATTGCAAGAGATTCTCACGAACCCACAGTATCGCCAGAAGGCAAAAGAACTGTCCGATTTGTATCGAGATCGGCCGCAGAGCGCCATGGATTTGGCTTGCTACTGGATCGAGTACGTGATCAGATACAAGGGAGCTCCTCACATGCACTACCAGGGAGCAGACCTGAACTTCTTCCAGGAACAGATGTTGGATGTAGTAGCCGCACTGCTAGTCGCGGTCTACATTGTGTTCAAATTATTCAAACTCTTGTTCAGAGCCTTGGCGAAACTCCTCTGCAGTAGACGCAAAAAGCAAAAGACAAACTGATAGCATATTATTAAGCAAGATAACACTCTATCTCGGTGTTTACATTATAGAAAAGTGCTCCACAATTCAAACAAGAGATACTGAAAATAAACCACTTACCTCTTGCAGTGCCTTCTTATCGATCGTTTTTGTACTCTGCAGCGTCCGAATGACATTCTTCGCGCCGTCTACCACGGCCGCCTCGATCCGCAACCGGTGCCTCAGTTCGTCGATCCGGTCCTCCAGTGACGTTTCCCAGTCCCGGGGCCTGTTTTCGCCGTTCTCTTCGGACACTTTGTTGTTGAGCTTGTACTGTCGGACCTTCAGTATCCGTAACCGGAGGAATTCGATTTTGGCTTTTGAATCGGCAAGCATCTGGTGCGCTTCGGCCAGGAGCTTCTTATCACGCCCGTGGTGTCCGCTGGAGATCGATTGGATCATGTTTTCCGCCCCGTTTTTCACCTTGGTTTCTATACTGAGCTGCTTTTCCAGCGAGATGAGCAGTTTGTCGTTGGGGGTGAGCTCGGCCGGGCCGCTCGGCGTGACGGGCGAGGGGATCATGTCTAAAATGAAAATGGAGAAATTAGAATCGGAGGGAAAATAGTGTCTTTTGCTTAGCAATTCTACTTCATGTGAATGTATCGAGCTGTCAATCAACGCGATTCACACGTCACCATCGTTGGATGTCTTATTTGTGTTGCATTTGGAATTGTAATCACCCCACTTCCCGGCAAGCGCCGGATGCTGCCGTGCGACTTTTGCGCCCTTGGTTGTCAAGAACACGTTCAGTAGATTCAATTTCGTCGGAAATTATATTTTCAGGACTGAGGAAAAGATGTCAATCCGGCGGAGGCGAGAGAATTGTATCGCAACATAAATAGAACAAGCAAGAGATATCGGTTCGATTGAGTGGGGCGCTACCGGGCCTCTGCTGTGGGAGGCAGGTGGAAATTAAATTTGCAACACTCTAAGGTTTCGATTCGAAGGTATCTTGGGTAAGCGAGATATTTTTCAGATCATTAAGAACGGAATTGATGATTGAAATGTAGCATCACCCAACAAACATTGGAAGCAGATTAGCAGCTTCTTCATGCAAAAATATGCTTCTTCAGCTAAAAAATTGCTTATTCAGATTTCAATCAGCACAAATTGTTTGTTGGGTATGATTTTAGCATGGCGAGATTTTAGATTCTATTGATCAATGTAGGGGAAATGGATATAATGTCGGTCTAAATGCCCCTAATTAGGGTCCAACAATCGACTAAATTTTCATTAGTCAAAAATATCGATTAGTATCGTCCCAATGACGCGTTCAACTAGATAAAATTGATAAATAGCAGATTTTTAGCGATGGGCCCAATCTTAGATCCATAGACCAACATTAGAGACATTTCCACTATAATGGCGCTTTTTCAAGCAGGAAAACGATACAGCGTTTACATTGTAAGTGAGACTTGTAAAGCCACATTTCACAAGAATAAACAGAGATTATCAAATCAAGAGCAAGTTTTACTATTATAATTGGGGAACAGAGAATCACAAATTGCTCTTTTAGATTGATTGTTATAAGGTAAAATATCAAAAATTATATGGGCCCATAACTGCATAACAGACTCATATGGATTTTTTTTTCAAAAATGAATGAACTACTGGCATTCTACACTGTGCACTAAAAGTTACATGTTTTACATAGTTAAAGATGCTAAGTTTCAAATAACAGACTTAAAGTGGTCATTTTATACGATAGATGAGGAGATGAAAGTATAGAGTTGATAGTTCCGTTAGAGTACGGCAGTGTGAAAATTTTATATAGAGAGAGTAGAAAGCGAGCAAGGACAACTTTGAGGAAGGTACGAATCGGTTTGATCATCTCTCTTTACTAAACTCCCCAGTTGGAGGTGGATGGTGAGGGGTATCCAAAAAGAGATGATCACCGATTTGCTCATGTACCGAAAATGTGTTTGAAACAGTTCTATCGATTGTCGGTCTCACTGTTTTACCGGTTCACTGACCACCCTGTCATACAATTCATAACAACTCAAGCTAAACATTGCATAAGGTCCTAAGTAACATTGACAGATTCTCATTAGATGTTGGATGCAGATTCCACTCAGATGATCGCTACATATCGAATAGCAGAGGAAAAATCTATGTTCATCAAGTTCAACACAGAGGATTCGATGCTTTATTGTTTGCTAAACAACCGTGAACAATTAATTTTCCATTATGCCGGTGGGAAGTCAGTCGAGGTACGCAAGTCGCCTGTTTTCTAGTGCCAAAACGATGCGTATTTCTACTACAAATTAGGGATAGTGGACTATACCGAGAAGAAGTGGATAAAGAACGAAGAGGAGGCCAAGCGGCTGGCGCTGCTGAAGGAAAAACAATTGGCAGAAGCAAGGGAGTCCTCCAAGGAAGAGTAAGAAAAACTCATAAACTATGTCCCTCTTAATACTTTAATATTAAATAACACTAGTTTACAGGCATATCCGGAGTGATTTGAGATTTGGGCGTAATTACTTTTGTAAACAAACACGTCAATTGCTGATTTATCTTGAATAAAAGCTCAATATCACAAACAAACTATACCAAATGATAGAGGAATCATTCCTGTACCTCATAGTGTTATAACTTTTCGAGATTGAGCTTTTATTCGCGAGAAATCGGTGATTGATGTGTTTGTTTACAAATGCAATTACGCCCAAATCTCAAATCACTCCGGATATTTGAACTTTGTTCGCTAATGGTCATTTCCCATGTAAAATCGTGCGCTGAATCCAAATATGTAGTCAGAACAAACTCAGTAGGAGAGTTTTCTAGATACAGGCATGGTAAATCATTTGCATTAATTTCGAGCATTCATTTACATTCATTTGCCCCTAACTTTTTTCATCAAAAGAATTCCTCAAAATGATGTATGGAGCTTTTGTAGGTTTTGTTATTAGCTAAAAGTTTTGTTAGCATTTTAAATCCGTATCTCTTATGCATGACGAACCAGAGCGAACAGAAGCCACTACTGTTTTTCAGTGAATGTATTTTACATTCACTGAAAATCAGTAACAAGTTCTGCCCGCTCTAATTCGTGATGCATAAGAGATACAGATTTGAGTTATGAACAAAAGTTGTAGCTAATAACAAAACTTACTAAAGCTTTATACATCATTTTGCGGAATACTGTTGATGAAAAAAGTTAGAGGCAAATGAATGTAAATGATTTTCCATGCCTGGCTACAATTCAATTATTTCAATGCCAAATTAAAAGCGAGAAAATTTACTTTCGATCAACTGGATACTGTTTTTCAGTGAGATTAGTGGTATTTTTGGCACAACCACTACAAACCTTGCTTAAAAACTTTGCTGAAATCCATTTTTTCTTGGAAATATGCAAAACATAAAAAAAAAAACAAACTATTAATTCACAACAATACCACTAATCGCACTGACAAATGATGTTCAGCTGATTGAAATAAAAATTCACACCTTTAATTTGGCGTTCAAATAATTGATATTTGATCAATAAACTTTTTATTAGTAAAATTTAATTTTAAGTTTTAGCTAGAAAACAGGGTGGCCAGTGAATTTACATTTTGAAATTCCCGGTTTTTTCCCGGTTTAAATCTAAAAAAAATCCAAACAAGAAAACCAAATTGAACGCATTTTTAAGAACGCTCTGAAAGGAATTTACTAAAAGGACAAAAAATGTGATTTAAGAAGATTCCCAAGATTCTGAGGCTTTAAAATTTAAGTAGTGTCTGAAACTAGAACTTATTTTTTCAAAATTTGTGATTTCTAACAATCTTTGTGATGCAAGATTTGGAGTAAAAATAATTAAAATGTGAGATTTTGGAAAAAATTCAAGATCACAGATATGAAAAATTAAATATATATCATACTTATGAGTCGTGGAATCATAATTGTCACGCTCTGAGACTTGGAAGCATTTTTAAGGGTTATAACAAATTACATAACAATCTATAGAATCTAGCGGACAAACCCTGGAATTCAAAGTGTTGATTTCAAACAAATATTGAGAAAGATTCCCACACAGTTTTCGAAGGAAAAGTTTTGAGCAGATTCCCAGAATTATTCTGACATGAAAACCCTAATAATTGTTAGATGAATTTGGAAGGATTTCTGTGGAGAAGAATGCAAATTCTAAATTAAATTGTTAGATAATTTTAGAAGATTTAAAAAGGAGTTGTCAAAACAAAACATTGCGGAAAATTCCTACGTGATTCTGATGAGATTTGTATGGGTATCGTTAAGAAAATTAGAGATGAATTTTAAGAAGAATTCCAAGAGAATTATGATCAGAATCCAACAAGAAACAGAGTTCTTAGATTGTGCTGGCAATAATTTCAACCCTAGTGCGAAAGATTCATCACAGAACTCCAACAAAATTTATTGCAAAAAATTCTGAGAATTAGAAAGAAATTCTTTAAAATACTCCAAGGGATTTCTAAATAAAATTTCGAAAGATTTCTGCTATTTTGAATAGAGTTAAAAGAAATTTTTGAAAATATTTTCAAATGAATCAAAGTCTCCGAATAGGCTTAAGGGAATTCTAAGAAGCATTCCAACTAAATTCTTAGACGGGGTTGCAAGGAAATTCCAAAAAGAATTCAACGGCAATTATTACGCGGAGTGTCTTCTGGCTTATTTCAAAACAATTTCAAGATAATTCAGAGCCGAATTCCAAGTTAATTCTGGAATTCATGTCATGAGAATTTTGAACAACGAAAAATTAAACCCCCGGAAAAGAATAATTCAGTTTCGGTTTTTACAAATATTTGTTTTGAAAGTCCAGCATCTTCAATATTTTCTTTTAAGGACCATGCACTTTACATCTGAAATTGAGACGACAAAAATCAATTCTCAATATTGCTGAGTGATTAAATTCTAAAAACAATAACACGGGAAACTGAAAAAAATTATGCAGCAAATAGAGCAAGACATTCATTTGGTAAAGGATAACTCTGTTTCAATGATTTATTCTGAAATTCTGGTGTAAAAATTTGTTCCTATGGTATGGTTAATTTATTTTCCCGGTTCTCTCACCGAATTCCCGGGTTTTTCCCGGTTTTCCCGGTTACTTTTCAAATTCCCGGATATTTTCCGGTATTCCCGGTTTTCCCGGTTTGCTGGCCACCCTGAGAAAACTATCCTACTGAGATTTTTTCTGACTACATTTTTGGATTCAGCGCACGATTTTACATAATGATCATAGGTCAAACATTGAAGTTATTTGTTTTTACTTTTATTTGTAACCTAGTGTTATTAAATGGTTCTCGGCTCCGTGGATCCTTTTTGACAATTGAGCCATAAACTATTAAAAAAAATTATAAAACAAAAAAAATATAAAAAATAAAGCTTTGAAGCATTTTACCACAGTTCGCACCAGATTGGAGGGCATAACTTCAACTTTCTTCAGAACAAGAATCGAAGGGAGGGTTTTTTGAGAAAATTCTACATTTAATTATTAAACACGACTGTACAGTGATTTTTCTCTCAGTATTTTTTTTCACGGATAAGTTGTTGATTTAAATAAAACCCATTTTTTTAT